AATCACTGAATCATTGCTAAAGGATGATATACTGAAAAAATTAAGGTCTTTTCTGTGATTCTACCATAGTTTACAAAACCAGGAGTTAATAGAGTGTTTTCACTGTTGTACAGTAGCTGGATGGAGAGGTAATTTCAATGAGAAGTGATGTTGATAAACAGACAGGTCTCACTCTCACCCAGAGGTATGTCGATAGCACCGACTACAGCTCCTAAAGTGTTCTGAACGGCCTCTCCAACCTTCCTGGCGATCAGTGTGCCTCCTTCCTCCTCCAAGGCAGCATCCAGCAACTCTGCAACAGGAAAACACAAACTTATCAAATCAGACACCGTTAAACTGAGAAAAAATATCACATCTCACATTTAAGACTTGGATTGAAAAGTGGGATTCCTCTCCTACCAGTTGGGATTCCCCGGTTGTGGAAACAGGCGTCGCAGACTCGGACGGGTGCCAGACCCCAGCCTCTCTCTGGGACCGGTCGGGTTTTGGTGGAGCAGGCGTCGCAGAACCCCTCTCCGCAGGCCCGGCAGTGGTGCTTGGTGTCGTTGGGTTGGAACTCCTCTGCACATTTATGGCATTTCTACAACACACACAAAAACAAAATCACATGACTCTGTTGCCAGTTGTCATGGTGCAGATACAGTTCAAGAAAGTAGAAAGAAAACAGACTTCAGAATATGGACAGTACATCAAGTTCTGTTTGTGGAGGGACCACAGGATGTAACTGTTATGTAACTAACAGTCTGGATATCTCTTGGGTAAAGCCACGTCCTAAAACTGTTTCTTAACTTCCCCCCTCAACCTCTGCTGCAACTGAGCAACAAATATTCCTCATGCTAACACTTTTGTTTTAGATAATGAACCATTGCTATCATGTATTAATTTAAATGCCACGTAACAGAGGAAGGTGGCTTTATTGCATCTTATTTGCCCCAAACACACTCAGAGTTTGTTTGTTTGTTTTAGTGTAGTTTCCATCAGGTACCAGAATAAGGGAGTTGGGTGTCCAGTAGGTGGGAGCGATCTGGTCAGTGAGCCAGGAGGTGACGGCTTTGGCAGGCTTGACGCTGAGTTCAGTCACTGACTGAGAAATGTATTTCACTCCATCCAGCAGCCTCTGAGCCGCGTTGTTGTTGTCCTTCAAAAAACCATCAGACTGAAAAGAAGGGAGGGAAAAAAGAGACAACAGAGTAAAGACACAACCAGCTGACATATAGCAGGATTTATTCTAAGCATTTACCTTTCACTTATCCGCACTTTTGATTTAATATGCTCAGTTCAAAATGGTAACATGACACACACAACCGACTGGCATGAATTAAATACAAACATGACTAACAGCGGATGTGACTACATTCATTTCGCTTAAAACCCTTAAGGTCTTGGCTTGCAACTTTGTTTGATTGGTTTAAGCAGAATCTCATTTAGGCTGTTCCACTGAGGCCTTACCCCAGGCCAGATGTGCTGGATCTCTGTTCTGACCACTGTTTCCACTGGGTCCTGGTTTCCATACCAGTACTGCCTGCTTCTGTAGATCACTGCACAGTTGGGGCACTCGATTACATACCTACACACAAGACAAAAAAAGGCGACAGAATATGTTGACACAGTTCATTTAAAGTTTACAGTGAATGGAGAAATCATTTTTTGACCATAATGAACAGGGATGTAGTTAAATTACTTGAGCTCACAGGAAGACATTTATAATCATTTTCCACATGTGGCAGATGAACTCACCCAGACCAGGCGTAGATGGCCAGGCCAAACCACGGTGAGTCAGACGAGGCCGTCGTTTTGGGGACGACTATTACTTCCTTCCCTCCCTCATAGCAGGCCTAAGGAGTTCAGCACAGACACTCACATTCGTCATGCAAGCTTCCTTTCAACACACCCGTGGGTGGCGTTGTGGGTTTGTACTTACCTTGCAGGTGTAAATGCGGTTGTCGTACTGTGCGGAGTAGCGGCAGCGATGTTTAGCTTCGTGGTCGGCCCCTTCCTTTAGGTGATTCATGCTTCTCTTACAGCCTGAACTGAACGTGAGAGCACACCAAGTCAAAATCAAAAGTCTGTGATACTTAATTATACTAGTATTTTGTGTCGTGCTCCTTCCTTAACTGAGCATGTAGACAAATGTCATACGTTTTCTGCCATCTTTGCTTTACTGCCTTGTGAAGTATTGAACGAAGTGTGATAAATAAGTGAGAGGCACGTACCCACAGCTGAGGCAGATGCTGGAGCAGGTGAAGTACTCATCTGGGAAAAAGGAGTTACTGACCATGTGCTCATCTGAAATATCCCCACTGAAACGCTCACTCAGGGCCTGAGGGGAAGCGAGGGTGAGATGGAGGGACAAGCAGAGTCAATAATGCTCACTTTAAGTGTTTCTGGCTCAGATACATGACTCTACAAACCACATATCATTATATGAGCAAGCGTCACCACCTGGAGAGCCTTGTAGATGACACTGGCAGAACGTGGTGAGCGGGTGGTGTTGTTGTCCAGCTGTTGCTCCAGGTTACGCAGCAAGCCACTGAAGTCTGTGGGGGGGTTGTAGGTCCGAGTTCCACGGTACTGGATAGAGCTGAATGCTTCTGGAAACAGACCCAGCTTCCTGAAGCGCTCCTGAAGGAGACGGTCAGCTGATTCAGATGGCTTGTCTAGAGATAGAGAGGGAGACAGAGAGCAAAGGAGAAGATAACATGAGCATCGTCTATAATTCTTGTAAGTACGGTTCATATCCTAAATGAGGGATATTTGATGTACCTGATCCTAGCAGCTTGGTGTGGACCGTCTCATGGAAGATGATAACCGCAGGACCCAGAGTGGACAAAGGGACGTCCAGACCACAGCGGCTGGTGGTCGCCTTCAGCTCCCTGGTGAAATGTTTCAAGTAGGCATCTGACGCATCGCCAAGGAACTTGAAGAGGTCGTCATGGAGACGGTCAGCATGGGTTCTGTAGATGACCAGATCAGAGATAGCCAGGACCTTGAGTAGCAGCCGGGTTCGCTGACCCTGATTAGCTCCTGGTGACCAATGTAAAGAGAGGAATGAATGCCTGTCTATGGCCCCTGTTTATTTCATGATTGTGAGAACATCATCTATTTGTTTGCTCCATACCAGCTCCGAGTAGTCCCTCTGTGTCGATGACTACAACCCAGTGCCCAGGGTCCATAGCAGCCCAAACACCCACAGTGCAGGACTCCTGGGTGGGTGATGTCTTGAACACTTCTCTCCCGAGGAAAAACGTGTGGTTCAGGGTGTGGGACTTGCCCTCCCCGGTGTTCCCAAAGATGGAGACGACCTTAAGGAGCTCATCCGCTCTGCAGCCCAATCTGCTGACAAAGTCATCCTCATCCTTCACCTGAGAATCCACACAAGATCATCCACGTCATCATGACATCACATGAGCAGGATGGGATCAAAATAACAGCATTCTCTCACACACGCACCTGCATCTCCTCCTTGTCGTCCACCAGAAGGAAGCTGCACACCTGCTCCAGCTTGGCCTTCAGGATCTCCATCTCCGACTCCCCGTCAGCCGTGCTGTTCTCCTGGGAAGCTTTGACTGTGGGATAAGTTGTCAGGGGGTGCTTCCTCTTGTTGACTCCGCTGTGGGTGCGTTTCTGGCAGTCCAAACACAGGTTGATTTTGCAACCCTGGCAGCGAACCACAGCCCTGAGGCGTCCGCCACTCACCGAGCAGCTGCTGTCACCTTTGCAGGAGTCACAGAAGGGGACGTGTCCCGGTGCAATCCGAACCCTGTCATGATTCCTCATGCGCTCCTGCCTGTGGAGCTCCAGTTCGCAGCGGGCACACTGCAAGCTGCCACACTCATCACACTCGAACACAGCCTCATCTGAACCCCCACAGGCGTAGCTCTCCTGGCAGACTGGGACTGTGTTCATTCCTTTATCTACAGCTGGACCTTGACCACTCATCTTAAACCCGACAGACCCTCACTCAACCTTTGGTGTTGATAAGAAGAGTGGTGCACTGACCTTAAGTGTCACTGAGAGTGTCTAGGATTGCATAAGCAGTGCAGGTGGAAGACACACGGTCATGGCACGGTTAAGCAATATCTATGACCTGATGTGATGTGGCATTTTATCTTAAAACTCACTAAAAAGTAAACCAACTCAAGTGTAATAGTTTTTAAATACTAGGATGTGTTGACCTGACCTCGTCACTGCTCAGAGTCGATGATGATTCAGTGTGTGGTGAAGCAAACAGCTTCAAACACACTTGTCCAGACCGGTGATCACTTTCTGCTTCGGCACAACAACAGTTTGTTAGCTAACATTAGCTGCCCTGCATCCCTTCACTCAATGCTCCGATGTCAAGATGCTATTTGAAACTAGCTTGTCACGCTCGATACAACGTCTTCAAAGTACGCTGGGAAACTCCTGAATAAAGATTCACTGGCTGCTGTTAGCAACACAAAGAGACTCACTTGTGGAGGATCGAGCAACCTTCATTTGAAATCGACCGACCCAGCAGCGGTGACGAGCCCGACGGAAGTGAACCGCCGCCTCAGCACGGTCTAAAACTGGACACGTACACACACACACACACACACACATATGAAGTTAGCTAGCCGAGCTGTTGTTGCCTCAGACCTTATGGATGTTGTTGCTTTTACATCAGCTGATCGGCTTGTTTTGATCCAGAGGTCAAAAGTCAAACACTGCGCAGTGCGTTCTGGGTAATGGAGGCGCTGCACACAAAACAAACGCGTTGGTTTTATCTATAAACTGTTATCGTCAGTTTTTACTTCATATTTTAACTCACGCACCTCACGTGGTTTCAAAATGCACTTTTATAAAAGCTACTCAAATTATTTAAAATGCATTTAAGGAGAGGATAGGACTACCCACAATCCTTTATGACATCCAGCTGCTTTGAGGTACACCTCAATTTCCAGCCCAGCTTACACCGATTTGTCCTCGGGTGGGCGGAGACAGTACTTAACCTCACTACAGTGCACGAATACAAACTACTGGAATATGTGCAGTTCGGTTGTAGATTAGTTTATTGTGTGATTTCACATGTTTGTCGTGAAAAACGCGAATCGCAACTTGTTATTTATTCAACAGGATTGAACTGTATTCAACCGGGCAGCCCCGTGTGTTAAAACCAGCGCAGCTAACGTGGAGGTTGTCTTGTGTTGGTTTTCTCACGGATGTGTTTGGACCTGTGCGGTGAACACCTGCTTCTATCTCCCATTGTTGTTGTTTAGTATTTTGCAGTGTATTTACCGGGCACACACGTGTCTCCTCTGGTGCTGTCGTTAGGAAAACATCTCTGTCTGACCTCGCCTCGCCTCTGACCTTTCAGCAGGGAGCTAACGTTAGCTTAGCGTCAACCTGTTAGCCTAGCAAACCGTGTCCCAGACTTCACCGCAGCGTTCCTCCTCCTGCTCTCCCTTGTGCCTCTTTGCGTTCACAATGGACGATGATGTCTTCACCGACATCAGTGGGAAACCCATATCCCTGGACTGCCAGACCCACTCCAGCTTCTGCCGGGAGTTCACCGTCAGCTCCCCCAAAGTGTCCATCGGGAAAGTGGTGGTGTACACCTGCTCCGTGTGGGTTATAGCATACATCGTGTTCTTCTTCACAGAGGTCAGACTCGTAACAACATATCAACCCCTGCTATATGTTACCATCACTGTGATCGTGTTATTTAAACCGAAACTTTGACCTTTTAAAGGTCCACTGTGTAGAGTTTAGTGACATCTGGTGGTGAAGTTGCATGTTGCAGCTGAATGCCCCTCACCTCACCCTCTCCTTCCAAACATGACAGAGAACCTGTGGTAACCTTTCATCATACAAACACAAAAGTGTTTGGTTTGTCCAGTCAGGGATACTGTTAAAAAACATGGTGGTCTACGTAGAAAATACAGTATTTATATATAAAGGGTTCATTCTAGAGTTAAGAAAACAACATTTGTACAATTTAGATCATTACACATTAGTTAAAATAAAACTAGAGCTGTTTCATGTTCAGTTTCTGCCAGTAGATCCCTTTCACCTTAATCTTACACTGTGGTGGTTGGTCAATTATACGATTCTGAATTATCTAAACCTTCTTTTTTAAACCAGCTTTCATGTTTTATTATCTCTACTTGTCCATATTACACAGCACAGATTACTTTAGCTTGAGAGTGACAATCGCCACTCCAGGGATGCTGGAAGTCAGAGTTGGGGGGTGCTGAGAGAAAATCTATATAATGATGTTGAAATGCACTGAATGCTTATAAATTAAATATAATATTTATTTTAATTCAAGTGGAAAAATAGTAATGGGTTTGTTTGGAAAAGTATTTTGCCTTGCAGTTACAGTTTACTGCCAGTAAGTGATGCTGCAGCCCCCTTCAACCATACTCCTGGCAGCTTAATGTTTCTTATTTGTTTATTACCTGTATTATTTATCTCTGATAGCTTTAGCTGTCCATTGGTATACCACACCAAGATATTTCTGTTGGATTACATACTCTAAATGATCTGCACATTGGAATAATATTTATTTGTATCTATACAATATACATGTGAATGTCTTTCCCTCTCTTTCAGAACACTGCTGTTCTGTCCAGTGCGATACTCATCACCCTGGTGGGTATGATGCTTCACATCCACTTAGTGAAGGTGGACCACGAGTCTCTGCTCGTCATCGGGTCCTTAGGGATTCAGGTAACGTCAAACTACGCCTCTGGTCGCGAAACCACCACTTTCATTGAGAAGAACAAAATCAAGGATATCGTCATCAATGAAGCAATTTACATGGTGAGTAAGAGCATACTTACATTCATCAAATCATTATTGTCTCATAATTCTGCAGTTATTTTAGTTAATGCATTTGTTTAATGAGTGGGATGATGACTGAAGTTTTTTATTTCAGCATCAAATCATCTACTACCTTTGTGTACTGTTGAAGGACCCATCAGAACCTAATGCAGTGTCCAGCGTTGTGCCTCTGTTTCAGGTGAGGATGAATGAGCGGTGTACAGAAACTTGCTTTTGTTACTTTACTTTCAGCGTTTCGTTTCGTCTTCCTCTGTTACGGTATTTAGCAGATGGAGAAACCGGTTTCTAATGACCATCGCCTCTTTTGTCTTTCAGAGTTCAAAGCCTCGGCTGAACTGCCTGGTGAAGGTTTACAGAAGCTGTCAGGAAATTCTTTCGAAATGCTGATGACACCCAAGGTGTACAATAGGAGTGTTACTGGCTGCACAGCATGCTTCTAATGTTTCTTTACTCTAGTCATTTTATTTTCAGTGGACAAAAGCAGAAAATGTATGAGCATTATTTAGTTTCTAGGTTTATATTAATTTAATTTCATGTACAGTGTAATTTTTCTTTGTATTGTCGTAATCATTTTATATTGTACTTAACTGTGTAGTTACTTGAATAACTTATGCAAACATAGCACTAGTCTAACTAAACCTAAAGAGCCACACTTTTTAACCAGACTGTATTAAAAGAAATTCTATTTAACAATTTTCCTTTGTCACCCTATTGTCAAACTGTATATTTTGATAATAATATATTTGATTAATCCAACAGCTGTTGTGCTTATTATTATTATCACATGGAGCCAATGCCCGCTGAGGATAAGTTGTCAGTGGGGCTACACCCTGCACAGGACCAATATGAATCACTGCTAGATTGGTGTATGAAACTGGTCAAGCTGTACTTTCTTTCCACAGTAGGGGGCAGCAGCGGACCTACTTAAACTCATTTACTCTGTAAATCAGACTAAAGAAAACAAAATCAAACTGTATAACAGTATTTATCAAAGTTACATTGTTTTTTGGCTTGAGTTCTGACAAAAGCACTGAAGATGAAGAGCTAGTTCTTTCTCGTCTTTGCTTGTTCAGTGCTGATTACATAAACCAACTGCTTTTGAATAGAATAGGATGTATAATGTCAGATGTTGTGTGTGCACAGTATGTTTTTATAGACAACACCCACATCTTTCTCATCAAATGTTTTCTCACTTCCTCATAACTACATCTTAATCTTACAGACACAACTGGTCACATTTACCTCAGTCGTCTGTTTCCTTACCTGTGACCATTGATATCTTCAGACCTGTTTTCAGAAGTGAAACTGGAGATGAACGCACAGACCAAATAACAATGGCGGCACATGTAGGATCAGTGTCAGAATAAGTGTTGTTGCAGAGGGATGAGAGTAACTTACCTTTTTGCTTAATTGTTTCAGGAATGATTTTGACAAAGTTTGTTTTTAACTCGCAACTAATTTCAATTTCAATTAATTGCACCTAAGCAAAGAAGCAGAAGCTTAGCAGAACTGACTCAAGTACATGTGCAAACAGTTTTCACTGTCAACCACTTGCACTGATTATGTGTTCAGTATTTTTCACCAAGACGAGAAGTGTTCCTCACAAAAATGACTTGCGGTTGAAAGTAATTTATAACAGTGTGACAAAGTGTGATGGCTTTCCACTGCCTACAGTTCAAAGTTCAGAGCCTTAGTTTTCACCGGCACTTCGTCTGTGTTTCCCAACAGGCCTTGTTTTTTTCCATCCATTCTAATGCTTCGCGACCATCTGCAGCTCCAGGTCAAACCTGTGTGTGAACTCTGCTCCACGGGACGACAAACCAAGCAGAAGGGTGTGATTTTAATGGGGCGAAGTCCTGCGCTGTCGTGAAGAGTGGCCCTCTGACGGGATAATAGTCCCTCCTGGAGGTGCGAAATCACCAGGCAAGAGGGGGGGAACCTGGGAGTGACCAGGGGGTGACACCTCAGGGCCTCTGAATAGGCCCCATAAACCCCCCCTGTGTAAATCATAGGTAGGGTGAAGGTTTGGTCCTGCAACAACACTGAGGCTTTCCTCAGGTGTAGACTAATGGCAGTCATTGTTGCAGACTGTTAATTATCATTTGATTGAATAGGGTTATTTCCACATTAACCTTTTTGATTCACTTATACAGTGATCTCCACTATATCTGTGGACGTCTTTCACTTAAGATACTTTTCTGACCAAACTCATGTTGACCCTCTTCTTACTGCTGGTTTTCATTGCACAGTACATGTGGGTTTATTTCTCGTGCTTCTCCATTGTCTGAATGGTGACTGTGTAAAATCAGCTTATGGTGTTTAGGGTGTGAGAATCTCGTGGTTCAGTGGGAGAGGAGGGATTAAAGGGAGTCACCCCTTTACCACCTGCAGTGCACACTCACACATACACACAGAAACAGTGAAGACACACTCAAACATTGTAGGTCCACAGTTTGGAAAACACACTAATTTACTCTCTTGCAGGAAGTAGGGTACAACAGTAAAATTAGGTTTGTCTTTAGAATATGAAGTTAATGCCAGCGGCCAGTTAGCTCAGCTTTAACACTGGAATAGGGCATAGAACATATAACTAGCCTCTCAGCACCTTGTTAATTAACATGCAACACACAAATGTAATCATATCAACCTGATTTGATGATTTAAAGGGGGAGTTTCGACTTAAGGGAATAAACAAAAAGGTCACTGAGAGGCGGAGGGCCGGCCTGAGTTGTCTATCAAACAGATTTTCCGAGATCCTGAGTACGTCAAAAATGGGATTTTCACAATGACGAAATAAATGATAAACACAGCACCACTTATTTTTAACATGCACAAATTAAATGCAAAAAATCACAGTGGTCAACAAAAACTTGAGTGATCCACTCATCCTCTCGATGAATGAGCTGATGGTGTGCCTAATATTAG